GAGCGCCCGGCGCGGCAGGGCTCGGCCGGCCGCTGCCCGGGCAGCTCGGGAGTGCGGGGGCGCTGCGAGCCGGTTTCCATGTGACTGCCCGGCACAAACGCAAACACGGCGGTCTCCCCCGCGGGCGCTGCCGGGGCGGCCGCCCACGCCGCCCACACCACGGCGTGGGAGTGGAGGCGATGGGGTAACAGGCGGCGGAGAGGAGCGGCAAAGCCACAAATCCCCACCAGCGCTTGCTCCCAGGATCCTCCTTTGTCTCTTTTCCCACGAACTTGGCAAACCCAGCGCTTGTCGGGCGACTGTGCCCGACACTGAGCCCCGCGAGGAGCAGAGGCTTTTCCTGAGCTTCACACCCTGGCTCTGCCGCTTACGGCCTGTTCTCGGCACCTCTGTTACAGACATTTTTTTTCTTTTTTTTTTCTCTCGGAGGCGGCACAAACAACTTTTAAAATTAGCAGTGGCTATGATCAGGAAGAAGGGCTGGACGGCTGTGGCTGTCCCTGGGTTTTCCTCCTGCGGAACAAGCCCAGCATGGGGAAGGCAGCCCCACTCCCCGGGCGGTGCGGGGTGCACAGCGGCAAGTCTTCGTGGAAACGTGGGCATCGCGTTAAAATCTGTATTTTTTGTTTCAGGAATATCCCCCCCCACGCCTTTTTCCCAGAATATCGACTGCTACACCTGTGTGCGAAAGCAAAACCAGGCTGGAGGCAGGGAGTCTGACAAGCACTACTGTTGTGTGTGTACTCAGCCCGGCACGCCTCGCGTTGGGCAGCCTACCTTCTCCAGGTATTTCAGGAGTTTCTCTGCTCCTCTCCTTTTGTGTCACGTTGCTTTCCCGCCCACAGTGGGAGGATGGCAGAGACAACAGACAGGTCAGGCCACCAGCTAACACCGGGACCAGGAGCAGGCTACGGTGAAGTTAAAGTTACAGTAAGAAATCCGAATGAGGAACTGAGCTGCTGCTTTACTTGTCTTTTCACCTGGCTGCCTTGGTGATAGTCACCCGATTCCCCAAACCCTTCCATCCCTTCAGTCTTGAGCCTGTATTTTTGTATACTCTGTCCATCAGAAAGTGTCTTGCCCAGGTCAGTAGCCACACAGAGTAAATGCAAGCAGCTTCTCTGGCTCCAAAGTGAGAGCTGCTTCCTCAGCTAGCAAGACTTGGCAAACAGGGGTCAGAAGCTGCATGTGACTGATGGCGTTGCCATATGCAAGAAAACCCCACCTCAGGGAGATTGAAAATGCTTTGAAACATTCAGACATTGGATTAATTTGCAAGTAACAGAGAAATGAAAGGCGTGTTCATGCTTTCTGTAGTACATGACTGGGAGATCATTGTAAATGTCCACCTTTGTCTACCAAGGCTTTTGCATTATGGTGAAAATACCAGTTTCTATATATTTACCCCAATGTATAACAGAACATTTCTTGTGCTATAGTCATCCTTAACGTTGTCTTCTCTTACTTTGACAACTTGAAGTCTCCCCTTAATTCCCGTCTCCTCAGCAGAGATTTAAGAGTGCTGGCTTCCAGTCCCTTCTCTCCAACCCCACATGTGCAGATGGCCTATAGGAGGCAGCTGCCTGTCCTAGCTGTATGTAGAGAAACAAAACACAGATTTGCAGAAGCAAAACATTGATCTCTAATTTCCCTGTTACCATGGGTAGAAGTTGACCAAGTCACCAGCTCAGTAATTACCCTGGTCATCTGAGCCACATGCTGTGGTAATGAGCCACATTTATGATCTTAATTTGCACCTTTATGAAAATAAATAGGCTAGGCTACATACTTTATTTTGCAAGTGGATTGGTTCAGTCACTGCACACTGTCAATTTTCATAGCTCCAGGACTGAATGGTCATCTATTAACTCATGGGAACTTGATTTCACAGCTCTGCTCATCATCTGTTCAGTCATTTTTCATCTCCCGTTTTTACTCCTACATCTTAATGAACTCTTCCCTATTCTAGAACAATTGCTAAAGCTGCACAGGCACAAAAACCTCTGCAGAAAGACCCAAACTTTTCCACATCTGCATCATTAGCAAACTACACCAAAAGAACTTCCCTTGTCTCAGCTGTAGCTGAGCAGGATGTAAAGGACAAAACATCAAACTAGTATTTGCTTATTGTATTCCCTTCATTTTGTACAGCATATCAAAAGAGTGAAAGCCTATTAATTACCAAATTCATGATCTTGTGTCTCCAGAGCACCAGTGGGGCCAAGTGCCCATGTCCCCCATTCTTTAGTCCCGTGTAGCTGATGGAAATCTGAGTGAAATGTGAGGAATACACTGTGTGATGCAACATGGGAATCTGTTTTTCGCTAGGCTGTTTGGCACTGTGTGTCCCTCTTAAAAAGGGCAAAGGGGCTGTTTCTAGTGTGCATTGTAATCCCCACAATCAGGGTGCTATGCTCCTTTGTTTAGGCAAAGGGCATTAATTTGGAGTGGGGCTATATGAGTATTTGCCAGTGTCATAAAATTGTGAGACTGGCATGTTCAGCACTCCCAGTTTGTTTAACCCTTTCCTGTTGGTAGAGCTTCATCTCTGTTTTGATGGACCTCTTCAATATATTTCCTAAGCAAATCAGTTCACTCAGATGACAAAATTCCTGCTGTAAAATAGCTTATGCCTTTACAAATAAAATATAAAATCAATTATTCACTAGTGCAATTTTCCATTTCTGCCTTTGTACAGTTTTCAAGACCTTATTCCTATTTTCTTCACCTTCACTGCTAGTAGTATTACTGAATCAACCCTTAAAGGCTACATTTTTCTTCTGCTAAAACTGGCCTGCAATATTTCAGGAATTTGAGTTTGTAGTATAAACGTAACTGAACATGTAAGGAATCTAGTAAGACAAGTCTAATACCGAAGGATTTGTTTATATAGCAAAAAGAGCTTTAAATTAGCTCAGCATTAGCTAACATACACCAGTTAACCAAGCCTTTTTTCTAGTCAAACACATAATCTCTTTTTATTATTTAGCTGTTTGAGGATCATCCTAGAATTGAAAACCAGTTTTGAGCCTAAAAACCAAAGTAAAAATAACAAACCCAAATTTATAGCAGGAAGAAATTTTGAATAGAAGTTAGTTATTGTGCTTAGGTTCAGTTAATAGCAAACTTTTTTAACCACATTAGTCTTTTTCCCATTTTAAGCAATCTAGAAGTTGTAATTTTTATTACAAATTTATTTGTAATAAAAAAAAATTATTACAAATATTTATTACAAATTACAAAATTTATTGTAAATTAGTCCCTGTAAGAGGGTTGACTTACTGTGCAATCATAAAATTCATGGCTATTTAATTATAGTAATTGGAGTTGTGTAGCCTCAAGCTTACAAAATTCTTTTATTTTGCTATCCATAGTGAAAAGGAAAAAAAATAGACAGGAAGTTTGATTTTCAGGGCTTGATAGGTCTTTTCCTTAAGTCTCAGAGCACCCATTCTTCAGAAATTTGTTTTGGGAGTTGGTCCTACATGCCCTATTGTTTTTGTTAGCTGAGAGCAAATGATATGCATTTTTAGAGGAATGAGTCAAAATAACAAATAAAAACATTTACTAGTTTTGAAGAAGTATAGTGTCATTGCTGGTCCATAACAGCCTAATACATTATCTGAACACCACTGAAGAGGTTGAATTTGCTTCAGAAAGGCACCATGGCTTGATGAGTGAGGCACTCAAGGGGGAACAAGGAACAAGGGTGCTTGGATCTGCCATTAGTCACATAGCAAATTGCCAACAAGTTTCTGCTTTATCTTTTGTTCTTTTTATTTGTCTTGTGTGGGGCTGAGAAGCCTCCTTTGGGACTCAGTGCTAAATTGCACTTGCACAGCATCTGCAAGAGAGCAAAGATGGTTCTTGCCCTGGACAACCTGGGGGTTTTGGAACAGCATTTTGGTTTTCTTCATCTTTTAGACACTTATGTCTAAACTGTCTGTGAAGTCAATTGAGGATCACAAAGAAAGAACTAAAAAACATACTAATCATATGAAAATATGACATGCCATCTGAAAGAGCACATGGATATAGATACAGATAGAGGTTTTTGTAGCTTTTGCTGAGATAGTTCATGCTATTTCTAAATTATCAGATAATTGTCTTCTGTGTATGTAGAAATACTGAAGTTTGTCCTTCATCTTGTTATCTCTCAACCCATTCTGTTTTGGATGACAGGGATCCCTTTAGATCCCTTTTAGCTCCCAAAACTTACTGAAGTCAGTGAAAAGTTTAGTGGGTTTTTGGGATTAAGACCTAGAAAAAAGTATCACTGAGTGTGGTGAAGAAAACTAGAGGCTCTTGCCTCTCCATTCCGGCATGGAAAAGGCTCCTCAAGAAACCCATGCTTGACCATTCACTCCTGCCTTAAAACTGTGGTGTGATCTGGAAAGCAGTGGAGAGAGGGATGGAGCAGCACTGAAGACAAGAGGTTGTGTCATGCAGTCCTGGCCAAACGCTGACGTTTAGGAGCTGCAGGGCAGATTGAGCACCATTGTGTCATGTAAAAATACTCTGGAAAGGGGGCGGGGGTCGTTTCTCTTAAGAGAATATTTCAGAATATGTATGCAGGGCAGGGAACGTGATGTACATTAAAAGAGATGGGGAAATGATTTAAACCCATTATGTGAATAAAGCAAGAGGAATTTCTATGAACAGTGCAGCCATCAGGACATTGAAACTGGGTTATTTTAAATGTGGCTAAAA